CATATTTGTGCACCATTTGAAGCTATTCCTACATGCACTACTAAATCTAAAAAAAAAATCAACACACTAACCACCTTTGGTTACCATGGTGACTTTATAAGTTGCCGCCACAGAAACTGAGCTGCAGGGTTTTCCCACTGCCCACCCCCCCCCAATTTTTTTTTTTTTTTTTTTTTTTTTCACTAAATGTTTATGTACTTTCAGTCAACTCTGTCCTGGTGAAGGCACTGGTGCAACAATCCCGTTCAGAGTCATGACGTCTTTTGTGGTTTGAAGTGATGAAACACCAGCAAAAACGCTCACCTGATCGCAGACTAATTCCCATTTCTTGTCGTTGTCGTATTGACTCAACAGCTTAAGTTTGTCGGGAGGCAAATTCATGTAGCTCTGAAGGAAAGAGAAAGAGAAAATTATTATTATTATTAAATTACGATAGAGAAATGTATATTTGATCCCTTTCTGAGCTCTTTTGCTGTTGCTCTTTTGTTACAACTAATAGTTTCAAATCATCAGGAAATTTTAAAATCAGACAAAGATTGCTTGAGTAAGAATTCATTTAATTAAAGAGGGAACAGCTATCTACTAATAGCTACTAATTTGACTAAATGCGAAAAAAGAAATAGTTCCCCCTAAACCTAACAACTAATTTTGCTACCCTGGCAGGAAACAACTGATACCAGATGTTTTAAATAACTGACAGTGAGTCTTTACATTTCTGTGGAGGGACTTTGGCCCACTTTTCTTTGCAGGATGGTTTGAATTCAACCAAACTGTAATGTTTGAATGGCCTGTTTGGAGTCTTGCCACAGAATATCAAATGGATATATATAACCCTAAGCTTTGACTAGACCACTCCAGATACTTAATTTTGTTTTATTTGAACCTCTTAGTGTGGTTAAACACCTGGATTTGTTGACATTCTCTCAGGTGCAGGACCTAAAGAAGCAAAGCAGACTCGGACTATCAAACTACCATGTTTGACTATCAGTAGTATTTTGTCAAACTCTTTGCAAGTTTTACAGATATTATAGGATGTACATCTTCCAAAATGTAAAACGCTTTTAATGTATGTTTATAGAATACTTTCCATAATATCTTGGCGATCGTCGAGATATTTTTTTAAGCAAATGTAAGATGGGTCATTCTGTTGGTTTTGGTCAGCAGAGGTTTTCGACTGAAACTCCTCCTTAGATACCATTTTTGCCCACTCTGTTTTTTTTGTTGTTGAATCATGAATACTGGCCTTAAGTTGAGGCAAAAAAAGGCCTACAGTGCTTTAAATGTTTGTTCTGGGTTCCTTTGTGATACTCTGAATGAGTCGTCAATGCAAAAGTAATTTTGGTAGGCTGGCCACTCCTGAAGCTTCACACATTTTTTTTTATTTTCTCTATTTGTGCACAGTGGGTCTCACTGTAGTTCACTGAAATCCCAAAGGACTACAAAAGGCTTCATAACCCTTTTCAATGACTTAGTGTCTCATTTGTTCTTGAATTTTTTTTTTAGATTTGGGACATTATGTGTTGCTTTTTCAGGTCTTTCAGTCTACCTCATGCCAGACAGGTTTTATTCAAGTGATTTCTGGATTCTCTGGTTGCTGTTACAGAAGCAGAAACATTTTTTTTTAATTGGAGTTAATTCATGTGTTTAAGAGGGGATCAATCATATTTAACATAAGTTGTTTTGGGTAGCTTTTTTCTTTTAATAATTTGAAATTAAATTGAGAAACTACTTTTTGTATTTACTTGGTTTGCCTGATATTAAAATTTGTCTGCTGATCTAAAACATTAAAGGGTGAGAAATAAGCAAAAACAGAGTCAATCCTTAAGGGAGGAAAATATTTTGTCATGGCACAACAACATCCTTTATACATTCTTTCATTCTTTTCTGCTTCTTCAATTGTATGTCGGTCTAAACAGATGTATATCAGATGACAGTAAGAAGTAGGAGGATGTACCTGTTCAGAGGAAAGATGACTCACTGTTTGCGTGAGTTGTGGGTTGTTGTCAAGAGCTACTTGATCTCCCAAAATATATTTGTGATAAACAGATATTTACCTCAGAAGTCTTTTTCACTGACTAGCTTGATAAAACAAAACAGCAAAAAAAACAAACAAAAAAAAATCCCAAAATGAAGGTTTTAGATCTTTATAATGCTGCTTTGTCACAATGCTTAAAATATACTTTAACTATAGGAGATCCAGGAATAAAACTTCCAATTTCTCCATGTTATACATCTTGAAATACGTAAAAAAAATATTTACACAGATGTTTTTGGGTCATCACTGTTAGGTTGCCTTTTTCTGTTTGTGCACCTCTCATGACGTTTTGTTTTGTTACACCTTCCTTACCGCTTATTGGCAATAAGTCACAGCGAATCAGCTTGAGGTCAGATCAACAACATTAAAAATGTACTCCCTTTGCCCTCTTTCTCTTTTCTTCCCATATTTTTGGAAAGTCTGGTGAGTCTTAGGTGTTGCATTGTCCTGTAATAAGATGGACAAATGACCCTGGAAAAGTTGACCATAGTTTGGTTTATGTTGCAATATTTCAGGGCAGCTTTCTGCATCCCAGGAGAGCACACAAGTGTAGCTGGTGATATTGATACAAGCCAGCAGAGCCTGGCTTCTGCCCATATTTCCAACAACATCTGACTGTATTTTTGTCTTGGTTTTTCCCAAGTCAAAGTTAGCCCTAAGATAATAGACTGCTGTGTGTTATAGACTTGTACTTTATGATTTGATAAGCAGTGCATCAGCAGACATGTAGAGTTAGAAATATATATATATATATATATATATATACTGTTTGACTGCCTGGAGAAAATAAAAGATGAACTAAACTTATACAACTTGTTTTTCTACTTGTGTTGTCCATAATCTTTTAGATTATCATGGTTCAGAACTGTAGAAAGTAGTGACTGTACATCATATGGATTATGGCTGAAAAACCCCACCTCCACAGGTTTTTAATGTAGGCTGTTGTAGTTAGATCATAAGTTTAGTTCTTAGTGTTAAGAAAAAGCACAACGGAGTTCATACAATGACTGAAGTCTCATATAAAAACTGGTTGTTCTCTTTAAAAGATGAAGAAATAAAATAAAAATAAACAAAAATAAATGTGAATAATTCAGCATCAAAGTAGTAATTAAATTAACATATTCCTGTACAAATCTTGTATTTATTACTAACTTACTTTAAAATACTTCAAGTCAGATTATGCACTTTGATCTAACCTAAAACCCCTAAAGCACGCTTTTACTGTCAAGACAAATAAGTTAACTCAGCACTGGGTGTGGTTTTGAGTTACCCCATGCACACCCAAGCACCAACTTGGTGTTTCTTTTTCACATTTGAAAAAAAAAAAGAAGAGGTTCAAAACGGAAATGGCCCGTTGCCTTGGTGCAGAAGAACTGCGCTTCATCCTTGGCGGGGCAAGGGTGGAGCCCCTTCGTGGGTTTTGTGGTAAGAAAAAAGGGCAGATGACAATGTAACTCACGCACATTGACTTACATTGTCAATGTTTGGAAAAAACTGGTATTCATAAAGAAAGAAAATGCCCACTTGGTGCAAAATGTCTTTCTTGTTTAGAGATTAAATCTTAGGCTTACAATGGAAGTGTTCTGCTAAAAGAGGAAGTGAGGTCATACATTCATATGAGTGCTGGGAGGGCGCCACAGGCACGAAGCAGCACAGGTCATGTTGGTTCACTATGTGAGATGACAAAGTATATCACACAGATACGTTTATATTTATCAAAATAAAGTTTTGAAGAGCACCTCTCATTTATTAAGGAAAGCAAAAATTATCTATAACAGAATTGTTTTAAGTCAGGCAGGTTATCAACAGCCACTGCATCTGAAGCAGGTATAAGTCCAAAATTTAACTAGGCCACTCTACAAGTTTCTTTTTTAGTCATGGAAAGGTGGATTTCATGGTGTGCTTTGGATCATTGTCCTGGCTGGACATTCTCCTTCAGGATTCTCTGGATCTTGAAAGCAAAGCAGTCCCAGATCATCACGCTGCAATCAGCATGTTTCCCTGTCAGCATATTGTTGTTGTTTTTTTTTCTTTTTGAAAAATGCTGTTAGTTTTACACCAGCTGTAACAAGAATGTAACAAGAAGTCCACTCTCCAGAAAGTTTGACTTTTGTCTCTAAAGTCCTCAGATTATTAAAATAATTTCAGATAATTGAGAATCTGTTTTTGGCAAATGTGAGATGTTTTTTGTGTTCATTTGCAATTTTGTCTTGAAACTCTTCTATAAAGCCTTTTTTTTGCCCAGTTTCTTTCTTACTGTTGAATCATGAACTTAGCTAAGGCCTGCAGTACTTTAGATGTTGTTCTGGACTTTTATAATCTCATGTATGAGTTGTTAATTCACTCAGAGTCATTTTAGAGGGCCAACTTGTTCCATGAAGGTTCACCACTGTTCCAATGTTTGCTGCTTTTGTAAATAATGGCACTCACTGTGATTCACCAGAGACCAAACTCTTAGAAATGGCGTTGGAGCATTTTCCTTTCTGTTTTTTGAACTTTTACACTACCTCGTGTCATCAGACAGGCTCTGTTTAAGTGATTCTACAGGCTAGACAGCAATCAAGCCTGGGTGTGACTAGTGAAACTGAACTCAGCTTTCAAAAAATTTGCTTATTTACAGTTAATTCTTGGTTTCACGAGGCACATACACAGCACCAGATTGGTTTGGACAGGCTTTCTTTCTTCTTAATGCATAGCCATTTAAAAATTGTTCTCTATTTGCACAAGGTGTATTTGTGGAACACTGACGTTTGTCTGATGATATGAAACATTTAAATATGACAAGAAAGCAGAAGAAATCTGTAAGAGGACAGATACTGTTTTCTCAGCCCATCCAGCCTGAGGAAAATGTGTGAGACCCACACACTCATAATCTCTACAATTATAATCATGAAACAACTTATTACAGTTGTGATGGTGCATACTCTGTATTTTCTCATGCACAAACCATGAGCAGCAGCTCCTGGGGTAAACAGTACTATATATTCAGTTAATCAATGACATATGTCTGTGTAAAATGTAGATAAACAGATATGTTAAAATGTCCAGACTAGTGCCTGCCTCCAGCGATCATTGAGTTGGGACGCATGCGGACAGGTTGCCAGTTACATTTACCACTTACAATGGAAGCTCTCTCCTATGAGCAGCTTAGTAACCAATTAACCAATAATTAATTGGTTAATAGTTTTTCGACTGTGGATGCCGGGGTTCCGAGCCAGAACACACACATGCTTATGGAGAACATGCGAACTCCATGCAAGAAGACCTTTGGCATCAATTTGAAACCAGAACCTTCTTGCTGCAAGGATCAAAATCCTCTATACATGAAGCGAAACGATGTGAATGCTTTAAATGTAGACATCAAATGTAGGCATCTCTTGTTGAGTCTGTTTTATAAAATAGATGCATTGCATGACTTTTAGTAATCTGGAAACCTGGGAGACTATTCGTTATAGTAATTTAGTAATGCTGTTTGGCAATTTGATATTTCCCCTTTCATGTCTGATATAGAATTGCATTCACACAACAGGATATTGTTAGGGTTTCTTTTTTCTGATGCAATGTGTCAAATGTTGTGTCGCCATTGCAGATTTGGATGTTGGGAGTAGAATTTTGAGGACTTAATCTAACATCTTAACTAAATATAATATGGAATAAGAAACTTTTTTTCACAACTAGTCTATAATATGTTGCATAGAAAGATTAATACCAATCCATTTACTTTTCATTTTTTCATCTGGAGTGTTGTTTACTCGTTACCATTTTTAAGCGAATCTAGAAAACGATAAAGAATAAAGCAAACCACTTCTTCCTGTTGTAATGTTTACATGGGAAGGCATCCTCACACTGCAAACTGCAGGAATAAATAATCTTCATTCTGACACCAATGTTTCTGAGTTCAGCTCGTCATAATCACGTCTCAGTTTACAACCTCTGGTTCTTTGGGTTTCATTAGTGTGTTACTTTGCTAACACCAACATAACTAATACCAAGTGAAATCTTTAACTTCACAGATCTTCTTTTCCAACTCAACAGGTTTCTTCTTATATTATAAGAATTTGAATTTCTGCTGGCGGCTCTGTGATTTAAACAAATACTGTATGTATTACTGGTGAAGATTGGGGATTTTTGTCCCCGGTCTTTTGGGACTGTTGAAAGAATGGTGAAACTCTTGCTTTCCGGTCCTGTGTGCTTTCATATAAAATGTGTTGCTCAACTTCCCCTTGAGGCCAGCTACCCATGCAGGCACTAATCACCCGCCTTGTAGTCAGGCACTTCAGAAATGCCTTGAATTATTTGTGGATATTTGAGCAAAATGACAGATTATCGATCACTTTCAAAAATCCTGATAAGTAGTTATAAAATTTGCAGAAGAAACTGAGATAAACAGTGGAAAAAGTAATGGAAATATTGGTAAACATGACTAAATAAATGTTATCTTCACCTACTTTAAGTCTCAGTTGATTTGTTTTATATAGTTTCCTAGATCTGTTTCCCGATCAGCTGGTCTGCTACCAAAACTTACATAATTCCTTGAATCTGTGCAGATCTCTATAATCTGGTTTGTTTTTATGTGTAAGGGTGTTTTCCTCAGCTACTCACCAGCACCACATTGAAGCGCTCCTCCAGCTCCTCTTCTGGGGGCATTGGAAGTTTTGGTGAAGAAGATTGCTTCTTCTGTAAAGGCAGTGTGGGGTCGCTCATCGCCGAAACTGAGTTCCTGGCCTCTCTGCCCTCGGCCGCCTCTAGCTCCAAGCCCCCTGCGGCCGCATTCCCCATCACTAATCTCCACAAGTAATCCAGGAGGAAAGCTGTACACAAGCCAATTCACCTGAAAAACCAGACTGTTCCACAGCAGAGTAGCGAAAGGTGATCACTCCAAATGACAAGAAAGAGAGTCCTGGGCCTTCAAGGTGATCAACATGAAGTTTCTGGCTCACTAAAATCTTGCTTGTCCAGATGACACAAGAAGTGAAGAAAAAAGTTGGGTTGTCCTCATGTTTGCTCTCTGATTAACATCTCTAGATACAAGATAAAAAAAACCCAGTCAGGTCCTGACAGAACTGAGAAATAAAACCTGGATTGTGTCTCACCAACTATCTGCACTGGTTGAAAACGTCTCTGCAAAGTAAAACTCAGAGGCCTGTGTGTGAGAGGAAGGAGAGGGAGTGTGATACACTCTGTAGCTAAGTCAGAAACCACAGAAGCACAAAAGCAGAAGAGCAACTTCCTGTGTGACAGCAACAGAACCTGGTCTAGAGGACAGGGTGGAAGATAAATGTGGCAACCGTTAGTAACATGCATGAAATAGGTGGATGATTAGAAAAAGAAAAGTACAGTGTGGTGGTGGCTCGAAGATAAGATATGAAGTTAGTTTAATGAAGTTACTACATTAGCAGTTGCACTTGAAAACTTTAACACAGTGGGAAACTGCCCCCAGTTAGTGGTGAAAATATTTGCACTGGAGCCGTTTATTTCCCCAAACTTATGTTTATATATGATTAAATTACCAGAGTCCTTCCTTAGACGATTGCTAGCCAGGTAAATAAAGATGACTTTGGAAAGAATGATAAAAAAGCGCCTCCGCGTGGTAAAATCAATTGTTGCATTAACTGTGGCGCATTTAGGGTCATTGTATGTTCGTCAGTGTCAATCTGTTTGAATTTTATGTATTCCTATTGAGTAAATAGATTAATTAATGCTATTTAAAATTGACTTCAACTACCTGCTACCACTTTTAAGTATCTTATTGTGTGTGCTGCACATGAACTGAAAGCATAAAAGCTGACGTCGAGTCAAACCAACTTATTGCAATATTTGCATCAGCCCTCACTGTTTATTTATTTGAGACGGCTAAGCTTTCTTGAACAGCCTTTAGATCTGGATTTTTTGTTGTTGTTGTTGCTATTTCCAGAGGCGCACTTGAAAGCAGTCTTGGTACTTATTCATCCTTCCAAAATGACGAAGTTGTGTTTTACTATATATTTGCTGGGTAATTTAATATACTGTATTTACGTCAGACAAAGGAAGGTAAATGTTGCAAGTGTAATGAAACAGTGCCTCTATGTGGCAAAAGTCAGCAAAGGCATGTAGTGGTGTTACCTTTAGAGTCCACTTTGTGATAGGAATTTATCATTATCAACCTCAACGTCAAATATTTTGCGCTAGTGTTTAAAAGACAATATTTAAAGTATGATATAATGAATAGTAGAATAAATATTTATGAAGTAACTTGTTTTACCTGTCGTTGCATTCAAGACTTTTTTTTCCACCTGGCTGTTCCATCCAGATAAATCATACCTACTATACTTATGTCTTCTACAAATGAACGGAAGAACTCATAGCTTGAGTAAAGTAGGGTTGCATCTGCAACAGGTTGACATCAATGTTCACATTTTTGAAATGTGACTTCAATCTACTGATTAACGTTTAATTTTTGAAATATTTAGGCACTTTTACTTTCATTTTCTGAGCAGCACCTGAAGGCAGCCACGCTATTAGTTTATTTAGCATTCCAAAATGACGGATCCGACTACGTCTCCAGAGGACCACTGGAAAGTAAGTCTCTGTTAAAGACCACTTTCGAGCTTCTCGCTCATTGTATTTTACTGTGTCATCTGTAATGTTTAATAAACTCGAAATGCTGAAGTTTGAACGGCGCTGCTAATGTAGCGTTAGCTTCATCACGTTCAGTAACATTGGAACAGATGGCTAACATGTTAGCAAAGTAAACAAAACCGTCCAAACAGAGAAACTCGTGTTTCTTAACTAATATTCTTTGTCTTGTGAATTGGCTTGCCTTCCATAAAGAAGAAAACAATTAATGCGTTAAACTATATTCAAAATATCGATTTTAAGTGAAGTTGAAAGGCTTTTTAAGAGCTTCGTCATGCTTGATACCTTTCAGTATCCGTCTCACACCAAGTCGTTTCTTTGTGAATATTACTGTATCCTTTCTTATAATCTAATATTTCTATTTCATTTATATTTAACTGAGCATTGCTGATGAAAGAATGTTGTTTATAGACCTTATATTAATGAAATTTGAGAAATCTGAGCCTTGAATTGAGTTTTAAACCTATTTTGTCAAACAACATTCATTTTTAAGGGAACTCTTAACAGTAGACAGTGTTTCTCAGGGTTTTTTTTTTTTTTTTTTCCACCATACGCAGTGGAAAATCTGAGCTAACACAACCAGGCAATAAAAACCCATTGTGTTGCGTTGCCCTACATCCAGCAGTAAAACCTATTTGACACATCGTTTATCTTCTGTTGTACTTGCAATGGACAAATCAGGCCGTTGCTCAGTAGGGGGGTTTAGACTGGCTTGTTGTTGCTCTTTTGTCAACGTATTTAGGACAGCACATATTTTCCTCTTGTCATTTCAACCTCACACTCTACATTTTATTTCTTCTTTGCTACTTGGTGATGGCCGGGCAGACAGACGGGGCTTTCAGCGACAATGGCTTTGACACCAGTGAGTACTTCTTACAGGACTTAACTCATCTTTTCTCTGTGATCTCTTGTCTCTCTTGCTTTTAATTTTCTCATAACTATTGTTTTTTGTTACTCAGGTTTCTTCACTGATACTGCCAGGAAAGGTAGCATTGTGTCCAGGGCAAACAGTATCGGCTCCACAAGTGCCTCTTCAGTTCCAAATACAGGTATTGACTTTTTAACAGATAACATTTTTTCTTACAGCTATTTACGGTCCATGTGTGATATGTTTAGAGTTGCACAGTACATCAAATAGTCTGGGTTCCTGCCCAGTCTTGGAAAAATCAGAAAATGCATAGAATTAATTTCAGGTCTGGATACCTGTGGTAAAAATATAAAGTCTGATTTTCCAGACTTGCATAATTTGAATGTTTTTTAAGACTAACATCTAGTAATGCTCAATACACACAGTGGGTGTACATGAATTTATATAAAAGGGGCATGCTTAACTTTGATATACCAAATGAGGTCTTGCTTTTAAAATTTTACCCATCAGAATTTTGGTTTTTCATTTACTGAATGAAATGAAATGCTCTTTCATAAATCAGTCAATAATTTAGTATATTGCTTGGTTTGATTGGCATCTGACAACTCTTGAAACAGAGCAGATCTGAAGTCAGTTCAGATTCCACAATAGCGCTGCCTTAAATAGTCTGGAACTAGGAAGCCAATTTTAGCATTGTGTTGATCATTATTTGTGTAATTTGCAGATAATAAAACTTGACAACTACAGGGTTAGTTTATTCTTGTCATAGGTTTCAAAATAAACACAAAGTCGAAGTTTATTATAGCAAACTCGGACTACGAATATTGAAGGTTTAGCTTATTATATCCACTATTTATTTTTGTCAATAATCCAAAAATTAAAATATAAATATGCAAAATCTGAACAAAAAACTCAATCCTTCATTTAATAAATATGCCAAGAAAAAAAATCCCTGACCTTAGCTATCAGAGCTATCTATACTACAGACATGTTTCCATAATAAAAATGAATTTGTTCCCTAACAGATGATGAAGACAGCGACTACAGGCATGAGACGTCGTACAAAGACTCTTACAAAGACCGAAGGAGACAAGCACACACACAAGCTGAGCAGAAGCGCAGAGATGCAATCAAGGTGACTTCACATCAGGATCCTTTTTTTTTTCTGCTGTTATCAATTATTCCACATATTATAGAAGTTTCTAATTTTATTCCCTCATTCTAACACCAGAAAGGCTATGATGACCTGCAGGGAATTGTTCCAACCTGCCAACAGCAGTCCGAGTTTGCTGTCGGAGCACAAAAGATCAGCAAGGCTACTATCCTTCAGAAAAGTAAGCTGTAGCCAACACATACTTTATGAATTGTGAGCCAATGTGTCTTGATGTATTCAGAAAACAATTTCTGTTTGTGCTAAATGTAGTTTCACCCCTAAACCTACCATGTTATTGCTAAAGAAATAAAACAAAAACTGGTGCTTTGTTCAGCCTTTTGTAATTTTTTTACAATAATATTTCAGGGGTCAATAATAGTACTTGCATTGTTGTTGGTTGTTAAGCTCTGATTGTATGCAGCAATACCTTTACAACCAAAATGACTGAGTTTTTATTGTAGATTTTATCCTCCATAATAAATACTTTTGGAGATTGTTATTTTAACTTCTTGAACTGCATTCCTGAAATAAATTACCTTTTTGACGATGATGCTCTGATGGGAAAACCATTTTTTTTTTCTTAGTTGCACACCTTTTTCTATACTGAGTTTTAAAATTATTGCTTTTTAATTGAATTCAAGAGTTAAAAAAGAGCATCAAACAAAAGAAGTCATATAGAAATCTTGCTGAGTTCATTTATGAGAAATGAAAAGGGAGAAGCAGCATCATCAACAACTCATAATTGACGTCCCAGAGCTGTGCCAAGATCTGTGACGAATGCATGTTTGTTTTATTGTTTCAGCAATCGACTACATCCACTTTCTTCATAAAGAAAAGAAGAAGCAAGAGGAGGAAGTTTCTGTCCTAAGGAAAGAAGTGATGGCCTTGAAGATCATGAAAACGTTAGGAAGTGGTTTATATCTTTTTTATTTTTTGCAAAAATAAAATCTTCCTTCATCTAGAAAAAAAGAAGACATAAAGTCCTGACTGCCACATGAGTTTGGATTTAAAAATAAATATTGATCATGAGGAAAGGGGGGACATCTATTTGGCTTTGATTGCAATTAATCTCCTCATTGAAAAGTTTAAATCCTAATAGGATTTAAAAAAAAAAGAGAAAATCTTTATGTTATCCCCACACAGAAGCTGCAGCTGTTTACTAAATTGGAAATAAGATGTTTGTTTCCTTCCAGGAACTATGAGCACATAGTGAAGGCCCACCAGAACAACCCACAGCAGGGAGAGGACCAGGTCTCTGACCAGGTCAAGTTCAACATCTTCCAGAACATCATGGACTCGCTCTTCGTGTCTTTCAGTAATTCTGTTTCAATGAGCAGCTTCCAAGAACTGTCTGCCTGTGTTTTCAGCTGGATCGAGGAACACTGCAAGCCACAGGCAAGGACTCTTATGGATGGATGCTGCACAAAGCAAAAACGTCAATCTGCAGAGGGAGTGACCATGTTTGTGTGCTTTTTCTCTCCTTTTTCAGACGCTGCGGGAGTTTGTTGTCGGAGTGCTCCGGCAGCTCAATGGCCAGCTTTATTAGTTGAGGAGAAGCCTCTGGCTAACTTCCAGAAATTGACTTTTAACTTGCTCTTGCCTCCCAGGATGGAATTAAAACTTCAATCTGCCACAGTCCTCACACTGACTTCAGCTCATCAGAGATTCCTGGATCGTTATTAGATTACCTCGTCAAACGCTATGGGGAGAGATGAAAGGTTGCCTTGGCTTGAGCAGTTAAGTAGGGATGCCTTGTGACCTCTTTACTGTTGGGAATTTACATCTCTACAGCATATTTTTTGCTCCATCTCAAACTTCTAAGGAACGCAGAGAAAACAAATTTTTAAGCGAAACGTGGCGTGCAGAGAACATCTAGTTATAATTTCAACAAAGCACAGAAAACGGAACGTATGAATGAAAAGCTTCCTGCAAAACAGCACAGGAAGTAGTGTCTTATCAGGTCCTCCTCCCAAGTTTGCCTAGTTTCATAATCTAAATGGTAACCATATATATATATAAACATGTGTGCCTACAAATAGATGCTCATATCAAGTCAGTTATTCAGTTCAGAGCAAATGTACCTGAGACACCGTGAGGAGAAATCGTTTATTTGACGTGAATGAAGTGAAGGAGGTGTTTCTGCCGCATCTTAATTAATAGAGTAAGAAAGCAGAACGGTCACAGCTTTTCTTCTGTCTCGTCAGTTGGTGACCATGTAGCTGGATTCTGAACGAGAGCTTTTCGTGCTGCTGCGCACAAACGAGTCACTCCTGAAATTTGTTGGATTGTTGTGAGCATTTCAAGCTCTTCTCTGTTTTCAGGAGCATGCCATATGGTGCCTCAGAATTTCTATCACTGATGCTTGCTTTGAATTAACTCTTTACTGTGACAGAGCTCCGTGTTTAAATAAGCGTAGCTTTATGATGGAGGGGGGGGGGGGGGCAAAGCAGAAAAACACATGTAAATGTTAACCCGCTGTGCCACAGCTCAGTGAACGAATTTGTTTTACAGGATGATAAACACCAAGTGTTGACTTTGATAAGCCTTTTTTTAACTTATGAAACATCACTAGAATAAGTTGTAATGCTTTTATGGTAAATGTATAGATCTGCTGTGTGAGCTTTTATAATCAGTATGTTGATTACCACTACAGTTTTTTGTTTTTTTCATTTATCACTGCTGTCATAAATATTATACCCTTAAAATTATTCATCTGTCAAAACACTTCTGTACTCGATGAAAAAAAATTACTTAGATAAATTTCAATCATTGAATTTAAACAATTTTTTTGTGTTACTTTCAGGAACTCAATTTCAAAGGTAAATCACTAGTAACTTTTAGATACCGCTGAAGTCTAATGCAAGTGCCATAAATCCACTTGCAATGATCTCAATGCTCTCATTGAGCTTACGCTACTAAAGATCATATATAAGTCGATCCATTCAAAGTCTGATCTTATTTTTGTAAACACGGAATTGGAGGTTTTATAAGGCTTGTATATGACGACGTGTGTGTCTAAACATGCAGTTGATGTGTTGATTTTATTTTCATTTTCAGGAGAAAAACTCAGTCAACATTAAACACTTTAATTACAATAAACTTATATACTTGTACTCTTAAAAATGTGATGTGGTCAAGCATTAGTTTGATACATCGCCATCTTAAACAAAAATAACTAATTCAGTTGGTAAACAAACTGTTCACAACTCAACCTTAACATTAATTTGTTGACATTACTGTGAACTCAGGTATATTTTTGTGGTTATAAAATTGGAAAACGAACCGCTGTTGCCTCTGAGGTGATGAGCATCCCTCTATAACGCCTCAACATTTGTGATTTTGTTTTGCTAACACTGATGTACATAAGTGCTTTCAGCTATGTTTTCCATTTCAGAATCTGCTGAACTCGTATTTATTCAAAGAACGTGTTATAAATAAAGTTTCCTCTTGGAATTAGATCACTGTGATCAGTTTCCTTAGCTTCGGTCCACCCAGGCTTGATCTGATGCGGTAGCTGTGCAGCGGTTTTCTTCAGGTGGTAGGAAGCACCACCTGACAGTCCTCGTCCGTCTCCACTCCCACCTCTTCCTGTGGAAAAATAAAAGCATTGCCAGTTAATTAACATTTGAGGAAAATGGATATAATGACTTCCTCATCTTACCAGGAACTCTTTTTTGCTCTTTGGGTATCCCTCCAGGATGGAATTCATCATGTCCGAAGCCTGAGAAAAAAACAAACTATTTTAGCACTTCCGAAGCAATTCTCCTTCACCACATGGCGTGCAAATTTAAACTGATTTGTTGACAAAATACACTACCAATCTCTTCCTCTTTTTCCACTCTTTTACATAAACATCACGCTCTTTATAGACCTGCAAATTACAACAAACACACCACACTGTACAAGAAATGCAGAACAGCCAAAGTAAGAGATTAATTGAGGTTTTAAAGCGGTTAACACCTTCTCTTTTTCTTCTGGTGTTACGTGATTTGTAGCCGACTTTATCTTCTCCAGACGTTCTCTGTAACCAGAACATTCGGCTTTCAGCTCCTGGATTTCTGCCATCATTTCCTCTGTTGTGAGGGAGCTGTTTAGCTCTTTCAATTCTGGCACAGCACAAAGAAATTCATTTCAGCTGTAATTCCTGCACTGGACTAAACAGCATAATTATGGTGTTGGCAGTAGAAGTGTTTTTTTTTTTTTTCTTTTTTTAATCTGAATCAGCATAGAGGTCTACCTGTATCTAGCTGCCTGCAGCTCTGTGTTAGGGTCTGCACCTCTGCACTGAGCTCTGAAATCTGTTTATCCATGGCCTTCAGGTCTGCATCATTCACATCTCTGAACTGAGACTGTGGGTGAGATTACAAATAGTTCAGACGGCATCTCCCTGCCTTACAGCAATTAAACATTCTAGATTAACAGACTAACCTGATCGGCAAAGTAAATCTTTTGCTTGCCATACATTTTCTCCTTTATCTTGCCTTCTTCAGCCAGCAGTTCCATGGCTTTGACCACTGCCTGGTGGAACAAGTTAATCTATCATCAGGTTGCGAACAATACAGCTTTAAATATTTCTCCCTTGTGCTCTCCTTAGATTTACAACTGAACATCTTTGTGGCCAAAAATGCTTCATTACCTTTCCCTAAAACCATACTTTTAATCTCACAACTAAGGTGAGAACAATTAAGTATTTTATACTAAAATACTTACACTCATTTGTGGTTTTTGTAAAAAAAAAAAAAACAGTAATTCAAATACATAAACTGACATTTAAAGGGATTGACTACAGATGACTGGATGCAGGGTAATATGACCCAGAATTGTCACAAAATCAGAAAAATACAAAAAGATGAAGGAAGAATTGATCTCACAGTTTTGCCCAACCCATGCTGCTTCTGCAAATTACAGAAGACATCCTGAGCACTGTAGGGACGGTTCTTTTCATTTAGATAGGCGAGGATGATAGACGCTCCTGTAATGAACACAATATTAAGGTTGTGCAGATATTAACATTATGCCATTGTGATACACTTAATGCACGTCTATGTTTGAGTTTGCTCGATTTCATCACATCTTATGACTCATAATCATTAGTGCCTCTTTCAGATATTCTCCCGCAACAAGCTGTTGTTCGGGTTAGCTAACGTTAGCTTTATGCTAACCTAGCTACACTTTATTTCGAAGTTTCTGTGAAACACCAACGTCTTCCACGCGGAATAAAAAGTTGTCTGGGATTAAAAACAATCGAAAGCAAATTGAAGTAGTTTATTTTTCCTTACCGTTGTCTTTTTTGCTCATTTTCGTGTGCACATTAGCTTTCCAGATTGAGTTTCGCGGAAACTTTGCGTCACGGAAAAGATCGACTATTTTATAAGAGGTATCACACCAGTATATATTTCCAACTCAGTCAATCTGAGATCTTCTGTTGAATCTTTAGCTGATATAAAGTTAGATTATTTTGACAGAGGAACGAATAATGTTTTCGCCAGTATTTGTTTCAAAGTTGTAACCGAGAGTAGTTGGCTTAAATCTTGTAAGTTGTAGCTACTAAACCCGAAAAAGTAGGCGTTGAAAGACGTCTGTTGCTCTCAAAGGAACCGTAGTAAGAACGCCCCCTGGAGTCACAACATAGGAGGACGACGAATTCACATGTTTACTTTAAATGTGAATATTCAATTCTTAGGAGATACCATTTCTAATTGTTTTTTTCATTTTAAATTAACAAAACATCAATAAGAATCATAGCATGTAGGTATGTTTGACCTTTTCGGTCTTTTTTTGGTATTTCATTGTGTCAAAGAACAATCCAAAAACCAATCTTAATTCCAAACAATTTATTCAATGTATTTTACACTTCAAAATATATCAAAACCGGATACGGAAGAGAAAATACAATACTATGCACATTAACTTAGCAGACTAGAGAATATTGATCATGGAGCAGCTTGACCGAACATTAACACCCAAATCCAACAAGCCAAAGAAATCCATCTCAGCTATCAATCAGTGCATTGTTTTTCCTACTTCATTTTCATGAAAGAATATCTAGCTGTTTTTTTTTTGTTTGTTTGTTTAATAGTACTGAAAACTTTTCTAAACAGGATAAATTTTTCAGAATAAAATAGCAATTGTTTTTTTTCTGTTGAAACAGCATAGAAGATTCAGTAAATCTGAATTTTTCTAGTTTAAAGTGCCACATTTTCTCCAACATTAAGAACAATCAGACAGACCTATACAAAAACACTTTAAACCTTTATAATAATTTTAAAAAAAGAGAGAGATCAACTTTTATACAATTTTGATGTAAACATGGTTCCAAATTAAAAAAAGGACACAATGTGAAATATATATTTTTGCCTTAAATAAGATCAAGTGGGTTGTGAGGTATTAAACCAGAGCAGAAAAAGGACAGGCAAATGAAAACAGGTGTGAACTTATTCACATAAACAGTGAATAACTTTTGCCTTAGAACAAAATCTCATAACTAAAATAAAATATGACAGCGCTTTACTGGCTCAGTTAAGACAGTAATATGGGGTAAAATAAGCTTCCACAAGAACAAAAATGCTGAAGATGTCTATTTATGAATCAACCGAAAGAAAAACTGTTTAAAATACTTAAGGTTCTGAAAATATGCAACATAAAAATAAATCCAGCTCCTATAATTATGTCATGTCAAGAAACTACAATGAAATGCCGTTTCTTGAAAGATGGATAATTACTGTAATGACCTCATAAACTAACATTAAATGCTGTCCAAAATGTCTGTATTAAATATGGCTCAGCTCAAGCAACAGGAATGTCCTATATATTTGGTCCTATGTTAAAAAGCCCTGTTTTTATCAATTCAAAAGTAGAAAAAGTTTTAACGGGCACTCCTGTAAGTTTTGAGAGTGTAATTTTTCACTTTGACAATGCTGTTGTATCAAATGTCTCATTGTATTTTTTTGTTGTTGTATTTCCTATTGCTCAGCCTACAAATAAAAAGTTATCACTGATCGGAGTCGAACAGGAAAGAAAAGAACATAAGGAAAAGGGAAAAAATATGAAATACTTCACAGTGAGAAATTGTTGCCTACCAGAAGCAGGACTGCTGGAACCTAAATTTATCTCACACGCTGGTCAACATTTTAGACTCTGCCTGGCAGGATGAACACACAGCAGCACACGCCCTTCACTGTGGTTTACCAAGCAGGCTTGATAAGAAATTAGACCCCTGACTCTCGCTTCGTCTCGAACTTTCTCCTCCTCCAAACGGATCCATCTGGTTCAGTTCAGACTGATCCAGCATTTCAAAGTCTTCTGCGTCCAAGTCTGTGTCAAATTCAGAGCTGGACTGTTTGTGGTAGCTTTTGTGCTGAACGGCCCTAGGGTGGCCTCGTCTACTACGCTGGGCGACAGAAGGCCGAGGCTGCAACGCCCCGGCTAGCGCCACCTGGATCATGTTGCTAGCAATGACTCCGGCTAACTCCCCGCTGAAATCTGAGGCGGGTGGGAGGCCACTGAGGGAAAGTTCTGCATCCTCCTGGTCAGAGTCCAGATGCGCGTCCACGTCTAGCACCGAGGCGCGGTGACTCGCCAAGCCAGACAGGCCTAGGCTAGGCAGCCCGATGCTTGTGTCGTCATCGTCGTCCATCAAAGTGGCGTCAGGGTTTATGGACGGGAAGTCTGGGAGGTCTTGAGCAAAAGACTCCTCGGCATCGCTGTGTCTATCCAGATCTAACACAAAAAAACAGAAAGTTAGAGGAGAGAAAGCAGAAGACAGGGAAGATATAATGAAGATAGCTGAGCGTACCTTCAGAGCCCTCTGTGAGTGGAGTCTGACCCCGTGACAGATTAAAGGTTCCATTGTCAGTGTAGGACACCTCAGCGTCAGAGTGCTCCGAATCAGTCAGTGCAAGTTCTTTAGCGGCAATCTCATCATCAAACTGGAGGAGAGAGGCAAAGAAGATGCTTTAATGCAATCAAGCAAAAAACACTTTAAATCAACTAATTCACTTTCAGTCTCTGCTTGCTCTAGATCTCAAACCTTTTCAAACATCAAAGAGCAAACTCATGAAACTATTTGCAAGGTTTTTGTTTTTTTTCTTTGATGCTCCTGACCTCAACAGGAAGTGGCTCTGGTATGCTACTGTATTCATCATGGCTGAAATAGATGAAGTAGCAGATACAAAAACAAATGTTTTTCTGTATACGTTCTCACCAGCTTTAATGTAAACAAAGTGACTTGAGCAGGTGCAAAGCACTTGTTACTACTCACAGGTAAGTCATTATAGTTTAACAGTATTACTGAGGAGGTTGAAGGGTTAACAGGCTTACTTTTGGGCAAAACGCAGCCAACTCTTCCTCACTGTCACTCGCTTCATCGGAGGCTGCACCACGTATCGACCTTCGCAGGACTGCAAAGGACAACAGACAGATAGTAACTAACTATTTCCGCTAAATTAATTCTCTGGTCACCACAGGTTGTAAAAAAGTATTTAAGAACAGTAAAATCATTTTTATTTATGTTGTGAATTAGATAACAGAACATCTGAAAGAAACAGACCATCTCAGTGGCTTGCAAATATCGCCATACCACGGGAACCTTTTCCCTATTTTGTCAAGTTATAACCACAAATTTCAACATATTTTATTGGATCTAGAGTCTGTGGCACAGCCAGATGTAGTGGAAATTCCCCATATTTTGCCAAAAGTCTTGTGTTACTTGCCTTTACATAAACATTCATGGCACCACATTATCCTTAAAAAGATTTTAAGATGTCATCGGCTCACTCTTTGCAGCTTTAGTATTGTTCTGGGGTATTTTTAAGACAAGACACTAATGTTGGGCGAGAAGCTTTGGCTCAGAGTCTCGTCTCTGTATCCTCCAAAAGGTATCCTCTTGGATATAGGTCAGGGCTCTGTCCAGTCAAATTGCTCTACACCAAACTTGCTTAAGTCCTCATGAACACTGCTTCATGAATTGACAGTCATGAAATTGTCCATTTTTTCTTGGTTTTACCAAAGCATTAAGAGTTCCTTTCACAGGAGCGAAGATGCCGAGCCCAACTGTTGAAACTGCTCTCTATAATCCATGCTTTGTCTTCTCTGCACCAAACTTAACACGGCTATGCAAGGCAGTTAGGCAAGTTTTGTTCTCCTGGCAACTGCCAAACACAGACTGATACACTGTCTTGGAGGCACGCCTACAGTTACACCTAAAATTGTTATTATTATTATTATTATATATAATTATTCATATATCTGGCATTTAAGTATCTTTAGACAGGGCATCATTTTACATTTTGAAGCAGTCCAGCCACAGTCCTGACTTGAATCTGATCGAGAACCATTAGAGGAAGCTACAGATGAGGGTGATAGCAATGAGGCCTTCCTATCTCAAAGACTTGGAGCTCATCAACATGCAAAATGCTAGTCTGAAGTTATAAGAAGAGCTTGGTTGCTTTGATGCCAAATCAGGAGATCCCATTCATTAGTCAGAAGGGTAATTATAATTGACATTTTTTAAATAAAATATAAATAACAGAACTTTTAGATCTGAATTTGCAAGGGCTAATAATAGTTTTGGGCTTAACTTTCGATTCTTGACTTCATAAAGCTGGAGCCATAGTTGGAACAGCTAAAATCAATGACTGGAAGAGGTAACCAAGTAGTTTTGGTAATATTGTGTATATTCCCTCATACAAGTTATTCAGGTGAATGCTGTGATTTATAAGCCCTGCCCCCTGGATCCCACAATCCCAGATGCATTCTCTGAAGGCACACAGCCTCTGATCTCAGTGAATTAATTTGTGCTTGATCTAGATATGAGAGAAGCTTTAATTCATTTTTATGTATTGTTGGCTGACAAATGTAGGCAAAACTAAAAATGGCTGGAAAATTTAGATACAACTTACACTGATTATCAATGGGCTTTGACATCATATATCCACGAACACTGAAGTCCAGTCGCTGCAGGAATGGCTCCAGCTTGACATACACGCACTGAAAAATCCGGTGAAAGGCAGCCAATGGGGTCAGGAGAGTTGCCAACACTACAGCGGGAGGGAAAAGATCACCAGTCATTACAGGAGGGAATATTTCTGTTAGGTCCGCGTGACGGGGGGGGGGGGGGAAATGTTCTCTTCAGGATTTAAATTTAGATCGGAACAGATCTGCTTTGCTGACAATCACATGTCTTAGTCTGCGTAAACCAACAAACTGCTGTAGATGGAGGGTGTTAAGATGCAGCAAACAAACTGCCGTAGATTGCTCCTCCCTGCTGAGCTGTGCAGCCTTCAGTACTTGAAGGTTAGCAGATTAGCCCACTCTTTGTCTGACCTCCTTAGCTTCCCGTTTTGAATGTCTTGTCCCAGCTTTAATCACCTCACCGAGTGGACCCTGGAATCACGGCCCCACAGATCTGATTTCATTACCCATGCATTTTTAATCACACTGGTCAGGCTACGGTTCCCTGTCAACGCGACCCTATAATAGCATGCCGTTTTATAGTCAGAGCTAGGTAAATTGCTGAGACTTACATGCAGAGTAGGAGAGCACTAATCCAGGAATGTAGTATCCAATCA